GATCCTAAAGCCCCCGGTTCCATGGTGGGAGCTTTGGCAGCTATGGAAGAACCAAAATCACGCAACCATCACAGAGAGACAGTGCAGTGTAGCTTTAGTCTAAAAAGAGAAAGAAAGGGAAAAAAAATAAAAAAGGTAACCCCCCACTGCATGAAGGTTCCGGATGTCATCCAAACTTTTTATCAAGAAACTGGACACGTTCAGAGCAATCACAAACTGGAATATATCGCCTTAAAAATTCAAACTGCACGGAGCAAGCGGAAACTGAGACGAGATTATATCTTTTCATTGATCTAAAGTGTTGTAAATAAATCGTTCTTGACATATCTAGACAGGGGTCAAAGGGTTTCTTTGAAACATTCAGAACTGTTCGCCCGCGACATTTCCATGGCTCACCCTCGGCATCCGCCAGCGGTATTAGCGGTATTAGCAGCGTTCCCTGCCCACTGCAGGATGAGTTAGAAACCTAGTGAATTCATTGGTGTGATGCCGTTTTCTACTGCCATTTCTGTGATCAAGTCACATGTCTGTACATTTTCAGTGATAGGGAAAAAAAAAAAAAAAGGTTTTAAAAATTGTATCCTAGGGAACAGTTTGCCGTAAGTCAGAATTTTACAGGTTAGCTCGTAGATCTTAATTGGTTTTCCTCTAAAATATGAGTTTTATAATCAAAAGGCCATCATCTGTTTAATCGAGATTGGCAACGCTGCGGTTCCTTCCTGAGAAGTCTTTCCTGTCACGCCAGGCGCAGAGAGATAGGTAGCTGCTTTGTTGTTAGCAATGTTCTATTTTACCTATCTTATTGTCTTATTTTAAAACCTCTTCATTACTTCATTTGCACTTTGACAAAGTATTTGTCCTATATTTCTCAAATTAGAATGAATCTCTAATATTAAAAACATTATTATAACTATTTTCATTAAAGAATACGAGTCCTTTGGCATTCCTTCCTGTTATCTTTCCTTATTTAATGGCCCTTTGTTTCCATTTGGTTTGCTTCTGCCTTGTATAACTTTTTTTTAATTTCACTAACCATCTACAGATGATGCCCCTTTGTGTTCCCTGGTTACCATCACAGGTTAATGACTGGCCCTGCAGTAAAACTGTAAAACATTAGCTTCAATCAGTTATCTATTGGTACTTATTGTAGCTGTGCATATTAAAAGGCAAAATGTCTAAAGACAGTTTGTCATGAATATGCTTTGTATGAGCGAGGCTTCAACCCTTCCCATAGTCTGCGCCTTTCACAAGTTCCAAAGCAAAAAAGACTTACACCCACACACACACACACTTGTAATCAGATAAATAAAAGAGGAGGTCAGGTCCTTTACACCTGGTCACACGTAAAAGCTGTCCCAAGTGAGTCTTTCCCTCTCTTTGTAACCTGGGTACTCCCTAGTTTAAGTCCTGTCAGACATAGGGAGAGTTGTTTGGAAACCAATATGGTTGAAAGCCTCCCATGAAGGGTCTTGCAGCTTATAAAAGTCATTTCCAAAATGAAACACATTCATCATAAACAAAAGCACAAACACATTGAGTGGTTTATACTTTGGGTTTAATGTCAATTCCTCTTTCTCCCCTGGACTAGACACCCAATATAGTTTGCCATTAATTTATTGAATCTGGTTTTGGACAATGCTTCTGTAGTGTAGCTGCACGTCCTGGTACTGTATCCTCTTACCTTTATTTTCCGTGTTACAAAAGGAAAACACAAAGCGGAGATTCCGCTTGCATAAACTCTAATTTGCACACTTCACAGCTACTACTTGTGCAGTAATTGCTTTATGTGGCTGTAATCCATAACCTGTGAAGACAGCACATCATCTAAATCTCATTCCAAATAATACTTCTGTGTAGTGTTAGCTGTGAATTTACCCTGTACAGCTGTATCTCTATAAATATAATTCCATGTATTAATAGTCACAGAAAGACTGTAAGTGAGCAACTATTTTTATGAAACGCACCACTATGGATAAATTAACTTTTACAGAAATCTTGTTTACTGTATGATATTCTAAAACACTGTCAAATAAAATATATATCCAAAAATCTTTTCTTTTTCCAACTATATAAACTGTGTGTTAATTTGAATTCAGTAAGGATCAGAGGTTATTTTGTATTGTTTGTTTGTTTTGTCTTTTCAAGACAGGGTTCCTCTGTTGTCCTGGAACCAACCCTGTAGACCAGGCTGGCCTCAAACTCAGAGCTCTACCTCCCCAGTGCTGAGATTAAAAGTGTGTGCCACCACTACCCCCTTCTCTTTTTAGCTTTTGTTTTGTTTAGTTTGGGGTTTTGTTTTTTTTTTTTCTTTTTGAAGCTGTATTTTCCCCTAGATTTCTGAAGTATTACTCTAATGCCCCAAAGAGAGCTTTTCTGAGACATCAGTATGGAGTGGTGGGAATAGGTGGGGAAGACTTGACTCAAGTAGACTAAGAGAATCCAGGTAGTACACCGCTTCTGTCACTTAAGACTTGGCAATTGTTCCTGTTGCACACATCATCACATTGTTTCCTTTTAATTCTCTAGTTCACACCCAAGTCAGCATACCAGCAGTGTTTAGGTCCAAAACCAGTGGCCCAGGAAAGGTTTTACCTTGCATGAGAAGGGAAGGTCTGCATGGGGGTTGGTCATGGGTTTGTGACCCAGGGGAACAGCTCTCAGCCACAGCTGCCAGGACTTTGCGCAGTTACATAGGTAGAAGACCTAAGATTCTAAACCTGTCACACATCACTTTCAGAAAAGAGGGGCAGGAAGTATGAAATCAAACACAAAATTAAAGTGGTTATAAAAAACAAACCAAAAAAACCCACAGAGCTCGTTATAGGATAATGCAAGAATGTTTGCAGAAAAGGCAAGGAATATATGAAACAATGTAGTTAACAAAATGCAATGTAAACACTAATGACACATCATTTTGGGGAAAAAAAAATATAGATACAAATCAGAGCCCAGAGGGTTACGTTGAGAGGACAGGAGGCTAGAGGCAAAAACATGGGTGAGAGCAACAGGCCCAGCCGGCAGACAGGAAAGTCTAAAAGGGAGTGGCCAGTGCAGAATAAACGTGTACTTTCTCTAAAGTTGCTCTTTTGTCAAGGCCACTGTAGAAGAGTCGTTTGGTTTCTCATGAGAAGGGGTGGGGGGTGGAGACTGCTATTTGAAATTGTGCAGCTTTGTTTTTAAGGTTGACATGGTCACTTTACATTTTTAGGTACTAGAAAACAAGAAGACAAAAAAAATGTGACCATGACAAACCACCTGCAGGCCACAGGTGGCCTCCAGCCCACCAGTTTGCAACTGTCTTGGAACAACAGGCAGAGCCCAGGCAGGGAAGCCTGTGGCTCACCTGGCAAAGTTTCTGGAGTCTTTGCTAAGCAGCCAGCGCACCTTTCCTGCAGTAGGGCAGGTTTGCTGAGAGTCAATTGCCTGAAGCTTTTGTGCAATCTGAGTGTTGTTTGGAAGTTTATATTCTTAGTAAGTTTGCCCCAGCTCTATAAACTCATATCCCGATTTGTATCTTTTCTACCCTTGTTTTTGTTTTTTTGTTTTAGTTTGGTTTTCTGGGTTTGGGGGACCAAGGGGCAAACAGCAAAATAATCAAATGACATCCCTGCACAGTATTCTAGATTGAATAGAGTTCTTGAGACAGTGTAGTCTCAGACAGGCTGCTGTAAAACCACAAGAGTGCTATCCAAATATTAAAATGAGGACACTGCCCAAAGATAGGTTCAGAATCACATGTAGTTTCATGCAGGGCCCCAATTAGATATGTAGTGATTATGATTATTATTCATGATAATAGCTGTGGTTGAAAACATTTGTGTATAAACAGTAGATAACACCCTAGAATTACACAGAACTCTTGCTGGGCATTCTGGAACATGTTACCCATGAATCCCAACTGTCAGGAGCTCTGCAGATGCCCAAGCCCGTTCATCACAGCTGCCGAAGGGCAACAGGAAGTTCCAGTGAGAGTCGCATAGTTCTAGAGTCTGATGAAATGTTGTTTTTGTTTTGTTTCATTTTTCCTGGAGAAATGATTTCTTAGAAAGTGACTTCACCTGGATAAACTTGAGACTATGTGAAACCACAGAACCACCTTTGACCTCCCAAATGGAAGTAGGTAGAAATACCTTACAAGCCTGGCAACCCTAAACCTCACAGTGAAAGGAGGTACTAACTCCAGAAAGTTGTCCTCCTGTGTTCCTGTGCCACGTGTGTTCCTGTGGCACCCTGTGATCCTGTGACACCCCATGTTTCTGTGACACCTGTGCTCCTATGGCATCCTGTGTTCCTGTGGCACCCGTGCTCCTGTGACACCCCATGATCCTGTGACACCTGTGTGCCTATGACACACAGTGTTCCTGTGACACCTGTGTTCCTATGACACCCTGTGTTCCTGTGACACCCCATGTTCCTGTGACACCCATGCTCCTGTGACACCCTTGCTCCTGTGACACCCCATGTTCCTGAGACACCCATGCTCCTATGGCATCCTGTGCTCCTGTGACACCCCATGATCCTGTGGCACTGTGTGCCTATGGCACACAGTGTTCCTGTGACACTGGGTCTCCTGTGACACCCATGTTCCTATGACACCCGTGCTCCTGTGACACCCACACACCCTAGTTCATATACATA